TGTTTGATGTGATGGGGATTCGAACCCGCAACCCTCAGATTACGAGACGAGCGCCCTAACCACCTGGCCATGCCGGGCCAGGTAACTGAGAGTAAGTTTACAAATAAAAGTGTGTTTAAGTTGGAACATAAATAAAGTGGTTGAAAAATATTTGACATCGTGATATAGGATAAGCCTGAAATTAACGACGGAGTCCATACGATTGTATTGTTATTTACACTTTTCAATACTTGCTTGTTTGTTGAATTTCGCACAATATTATTCTAGGATTACCTGCGCTGGCCGTTCCAAATTTGAAAGTTATAAACAGCTAGTCAAAATCACCCCTTTTCAACTCTTGAATTATTCTAATCGAATTGCCCATTATATTATCACACACCCCACGGGTGAAAAGGGGAGCATGTTCAGTGATGGGATTCGAGTCTGCGACCCGCAAATCGCTAGTCGAGCACCTTAACCATCATGCCATGCCAGGCCCTATTATGTATGCACCAAACTGCTTGTTGGTCCATGACTTTGTTGGTTATGTGGTATATAATAGCATATGAGTAACGAAACAAGTTATAAAAAAATTGTCGAAAACTCTTCGGTATGCGTTAAATATACCAGAAGTATTGTAATTAATTCCACTAAGTACTGAAACCTTCTGTGTACTTTATATGAAAAATGAGTAATCTCACCTTTATTTTCTTGTCAGTTCTTTCTACTGAGCGTTATAATAGACAGAACATAAAATTACTTAAGTGTGAGATTGGTAAGGAAAGTATAAAACAAAGTCGATAACTCATGAGCTAATAACTCATTTTTGTTACAGCTTCATTAATGAGTTAATAGTATGTTACTTTTTGAAGAGGGTTAACTTTCCTACGGACAGATCGTTGTTCACATCTGAGAATTTGTAGATGTAACTACTTTTTGTAATAACAATTAATGATGTTGACCAATTGGACAAGTAATCAAACTTTGTATTTGCGTAAACGTATTTCAGAACTGAAGTTATTAAAATATTATCATTAGTCTATTTTACAGTGGCCAGTGATAACAATAATAACGAAACTGCAATTAAATTATCAAAAATAAATTAACTTTCACTTAGGAGTTATTATTAATAACTACTAATTTAGTCTACTCCCGTTGACTCCATGATTGTTTGACCAGCTCTTGGATCAAGAAGAGTAGTTTGCTGGTTCTTCTGATTAATGGATAGGTTAATCCAAGAAAACAATAATTAATAACATATGGTGTAAAAATATCAAGAAGAGTAGTTTGCTGGTTCTTCTGATTAATGGATAGGTTAATCCAAGAAAACAATAATTAATAACATATGGTGTAAAAATAAACAATATGGTCCTAAAAATTAGATTCTCAAACGTAATCCACTTCACATCGTAACAGTTGTTGTCAAGTATTTTGTTAATAGAAACAGCGTCTCAACCATTACTATTATGTCTGTCGTATTTCAGACGGCTTGTAGAGCTCTGGTGTTGTGCGAAAAGCTTCACAAGTATTGGATATAGTAGATATAGTTTGGTTGACATATTATTATACACTATTCTTTATTTTCACTCGGAAATTTTTATTAAGAACTGCATACATACTCTAGTAATAAAGTTGTAATAAAACGTCCTTTAATCTCCAGATGATGATGATAACTTTTCATTTAAGCCCATGTTTCGCCATTTTGCGGCTTCGTCAGAGTTAGAAGTAAAACAGTTCCTGTACTAACTGGACCTGATGACGCTGCATTGCCGAAACGTTGGCTAAGTAAAGTTTTGTTGTTGTTTATTATCTGGAGAGTAAAGGTCGCTTTTTCTTCTTTTTTTGCTGGCTTTATTGCCAAAATGTCTAAATCCCTCCAGTATTTATTACAAATTTTGGTGAACAATTATATACATAACTTATTTTCTTGAAAATATTTGCTAATTGCTTATTAACCGTGACATCAAGCTTCTTATATATCTGCTCTATTTATATGTTTTACAGTTTTTAAATCAAACCCAAACTGTAGTAGAAAGCAAGTTTTCGAGAATAAAGTATTTACCATAAGTTTTTATCACAAAACAACAACAAAATAAACTGTAATATATAATAGTAGATTTTGGTTTTATATATTGAAGGTTTTTGTGTGTTTTTATTATTTTCAACAAGTATCAGTATGCTTCTAAAACGTCTACATTTTAAAATATCTGTAATAGGATTTCATATTTCATACGCCAGAGTGCGTAGCGAGTTTTGCGCCTGAGAATATTTTTGTCCAAATTGAAAATAATAGTTTTTATTCCGTTTTTACTCTACAGATTCGGCTGTACAGTCGTGATATAATCAACGAAGCTCCCGTACATCCTCCTTTTCGTCATAGGGCTCATATGAAAATCCGTCACATGAGGAAAGGACACCGTCTAAACCTGAAGAAAAATGTCAAAATCCGTAGCGGAAAACTTAAGATAAATGGTAATCACAAAATAAATTACGAAAGAAAAATTAGCCAATTAAAAAAAAAAAAATAAAAAAAAAATAACATTTCCATTTTATTTCATTGCAAATAAAAATATCCGCTAGCATCAACTATTTTGGTAACATAGATTTAAAAACTTAATTACGTATTTTGCAAAAATTGAGTTTTACTGAAGTTGGTTTGCTCGAAATTATGAGATTAATTTTGTGGAGAACTTCGTAAGCAGAATAATATAGAATGTATTTAAGCAATGTGTTTTATGCCAAACGTGTTGAGGCTGTCTATTCGCGTGTTTTGTAAACACAGTTTACTCTAGTTAACCGTCCTAAAGTCGATAACTCATGAGTTAATAACTCATTTTTTTTACAGCTTCATCAATGAGTTAATAGTATGTTACTTTTTGAAGAGGGTTAACTTTCCTACGGACAGATCGTTGTCCACCTCTGAGAATTTGTGGATGTAATTACTTTGTAATAACAATTAATGATGTCTCTCCACACATACAATAAAAAAAAATTGTATGCAACTTCGGCAAAGCAAGGTTAACTTATACAAATTTCATGATTAGCCACCAAATATTTGTCAAAAGATTTTTTTTTATCTACATGATAAAACCCTCGCGCAACCCGGCATAATCTGAAATTATACTAATACAGGACCCTGTTTGTACAATATTCTGTAATAACCAATCAATGTCTGTGTTGCTTTCTTCAGATATCTCAACGGAGATATCTCAAGATTTGAACATTCGATTAGTATCTCAGAATATCTTGAGACAGAGGAATCGTCGAGAAACCCAGAAACCATACTTCGTGAGGAATCAACGCCAAATGATGGAATCACTTTCATTGCACATGTACATCATAATCCTGGAAATAATCCAGATGAATCGAGTATGTTAATAAGACTGCTACACTTCCTTATTATATTTTATTCGGTAATTTCCCAAAACTTTTATAGTATGAACAACTGTATTTTGTATATACTACACAGTGATTGTACGGATGTAAATTGATCACGCATCACAAAGTCTACCTAATGCTTGAAACCTCATTGTATCCCTAATGTTTCCAAAAATTGGAGATACATTATTAATCTTCTCATAGTTTGGATATTTTTTGTGTTAATGTATTCAGTACGTAGTTGTAGATATTTTTTGTGTTAATCTGTTCAATACTAAGTGAAGGGAAGCTCACAGTTCATCGTACTATTTTCAAGTGTTGGGAATACGTAGCGTGTATTTCTTGTGCTAATCTCACAGTCTTAGCCTTGTATTCCTTGAGTTGTTCATCCCGGCATTCAGAATACTTATCGAATTTTGTGTGTGTGTGTTAGTCTTCCAATAATACACAGATCCCTAAGTATTCCTCATTTTACTTACCCTGATATTAAGAAGACTTTCATAACATCTGTTTAATTAGATTTTCTAGTGTTAGAGATTTATTATATGTATTATTTAAGCATCATAATTTAAGGTAAATTACTTATTCTTTGTTTTACTTTTTCTAACATTGTTTTTTGTTAAACTCCCATTGTTAGGGTATTCATTACATCATTGGCGCTCAGTCTTCCATTTCTAAAAACATGTGAGTAAAAACAAAGGTAAATATGTCATAATATGTCAACCACACTACATTTGTCATGTTCAGTACCGACGAGGCCTTTCTCGCAATACCAAGGCTCATTAGACCGGCTAGGATATGACAGATATGGTAGTGGTCCAGGCGCTATTTATATCATCACTTTTCATGAAAAACGACTATTAGGGGGGTGAGGACTAGATTAAGTAAGTGAATTGTAATTATTATCAATGCTTGGGGTGTTGTTTTTAATTCGTGTTAATGTTTCAGTGTTGCCAAGGTTAGGGAAGTTTGTCACAATCTTTCTCGTAGTTTGCTATATAAAACGGGATATTTATTGAAATATTGGTTTTAGTCTTCCATTGTTATGGATATGTATAAATTCTTTATCATAGACTCTCCACACCAGCGGGTCTTATTGTGTTTTTCGTATTAAACTCTAAATGTTGTGGATATATTTTAGTTTTTCGTATAAACTTCACCATTGTTTAAATGGAGCTCGTTCTATTTTTGTTCTTATTCTTTTCAATATCGGCAACAATACTCGCAGCTAGTATTATGTCCTAGAAATACTAACTACTACAATTATTTTATAGATTTGAAAATAAATTCTGCACCAGTCTCACCTTATTTACCTCGTACATCAACTGAAACATTACCATGGAAACGCGAAGAGGACTGTGGTATTGAAAGATGCGTCCGAAAACAGCAGGAGTTTCCTTTATGGGTAGAAAATAAAGAATACAATGTTTATACCTCGTTGACCAGCAATTTTTTGAATAATTTAAGTTCGGATGATCATGCTAATCCATCAGACGTATTCCAGTTATTTGAGCTCAATCACCCAGTAGAAGAAGAGGCGAACAACCTGGAAAATAAAACTAAAAATCGGTAGTCTTGACCCGGAGAATATAGGCTTAGAGACTGTAGCCGATGACAGAAATGTTCTCAATCAGGTTGTATCTTTGGAATTGGAAGAGCCTCGTTTTGAATTCAAAAACCAAAACCTGAAATCTCTTCCAAACAAAAACGTGGCAATTAACAATGAAGCAAAAGAAGGAAGTGTGCTAAAAAGGCAAACAAATCGGTCAGAATCACAGGAATTTCTTATTAGTTGAAGTGGAAGAGTACAAAATGTCGTTTCAACAAAAGTTTTATATATGATATAGCAACTCAAATCGGACTGTGTCTTAAAAGTGTATTTATACCGTTACCTATTTTTTTGTGATATAGTATGTTTTACGACCATCCAATTTTCAATCTTTAGTGTATTGACTTGTTCGGTGTTCTTATATAAATTTAACTTCCCCTCCCCCCACCGAAGACTGCAAAAAGTAAATTAGCTTATTGTTCTTATAATAGAAGCTTATTATATGTCGAAACATCTGCGCTACAGTGCAAAAATTGTTGTATTTCAGGCAGGAACGTTTATGTTTAACCAATACAATTGGTTCTCTATCGACTTGATTGTTGAAAGAAATTTCGCAGGGTTGTATACATCTCAAAGAAATTTTAAAACTTGTCCGCGTGAATTATTTGAAATTCGCATATTTTAAATTCACAGTGGTGGAAATAAGGGAACAGTTTCGTATTCTCTGTCATAAAATAATATTAGTTATACTAATAAAATGAAGCATTTGTATGGCAAATTTAGTTTAATTTTAGGTATTCTTTGTGTGAAACGTTATAAATGTGTGGTTAATTTTTACATGTAACTTAATACATTTCACATACTATTTTATCCACTGTAGCATTTTATTTCCCATTAGTTTACCCTGCCTGGGTGAAATAAAAAGGAAAGTTTTTGCATGTATTTTTTAACTATAATAAAGAACTAGTTTCAAGCTTCGTTTATATGGTCTTCATTAACTATTGTGCAGATTGTACATTGGAAATTCATATTTAGTAGTTGTGGTGCTGGGCTGCGCACGGAATGTCTAAAGTTAGAGCTAGGCACATGCCATTGAATATGCTCTGTACGTTCAGCTCTGGGTGTTTTATAATTTGACATTCAATCCTTCTTTTCGGTTTAGAGTAGCCATATATAGTTATACTTTGAAGAAAAGCAAAATTATTTTGGAATAAGGTTCTTTTAGAAGTATTGGAGAATTTATGGCCTAACATTTATCTTGTATCATTTAAATGTACAACAGAATACGTACTACAGGTTTTACAGTACGAAATAAATCTGAAAATTGTGTTTTCTAATTCCTTTTTATAAAATAGTTAAAAATCACTAATACGGTTTATGTGCTTCTTGTAATAGAAGTTTGTTTTGAATTTAGCGCAAAGCTACACTAGGACTAACTGTGCTGACTGTCCCTAATTTAGCAGTGGTAGACTAGAGGGAAGGTAGCTTGTTATCATCACTCCCCGCTAACTCTTTTACCAACAAATAGCGGGATTTACTATTACGTTATATCGTCCCCACGATTGAAATAACGAGAAAGTTCGGTGACAGAAATTCGATCCCTCAACCAGCAGATTGCTAGTCGAACGGCCAAACCGTCAGGCCTGTAATAAAATTATAATTTATTTATAGAATGTCCTATTATAAATATTTTTGGGAAGAATGGTCAATCAATACAGATTAAAGATAAATTAGGTTTGGCATTTTCGTTAAAACTACAGGATAAACTGTTTAGGATGTTGTTTAGGAAGAAAAAAATATTTCGTTAAATCATTTGCTATTATTAGTTCGTCATTTTATATACAAAAAATTCAGATAGAAAACTATTTTTTCCTTGTTTATTAAAAATTCAAAAATGTTTATTCTTTTGGATGAGGCTAGAGGAATGGAAAACAAAATGGTTGATTTAATTTTAAAATCGTAACATATAATAAATGAAATATTAGAGTCTTTGTTCTTGTTCCGTTTGTCTTGTTTGCGAATTACAAAAAAAAAAAAAAAAGACCTTTAACTTTTACATTTTTGCTTCTTAGTTATTGGCCGTCCTCCGATCAGTAGCTCAAAGTTAGAGACAACCATGCTTGAAGTTTGGGTTCTCTAGCATGACCAATTAACCCATTGTGATGTAAGCTTTTGGGTTTATTTGTTTTGTTGCATTTCGTGCAAAGTTACTCGAGGGTTATAGACGCTAGCCGTCCATAATTTAGAAGTGATAGACTAGAGGAAAGGCAGATAATCAATAACACACACCACCAAGTCTTGGGCTACGCTTTACCAACGAAAAGTTGAATTGACCATCAAATTATAACGTACCCGCGGTTGAAAGAGCGAGAATATTTGATGATAGGACTCAAACCCGTAGATTGAAATTCAGCGCCCAAACCACCAGGCCTCATCTGTGAGGCACAACGTTTATGCGTGTATTAAAAATTACACGTGTTTTAGTCCCACAGACTAAATATACCGTGAAAATAAAACACGTTCACATTGCATTTTATAAGCATTTCATTTTATTAAAAGAAATTTGAACTAATGTTAAAATTTTCCTTTCTTTATAGTATTTATTTTTTTCTTAATATGTGTTAAAAAGTTTTGTATAAAAGCTTTCACAAATATTTGTAAAAAATGAGGTGTAATCGTTAGAAGCGAGTACTGGGTGAGGTAATTGTCAAATAAAACTAAATGTAGCAAATAGCACATTCTGTATAATTATCAGGAGCATTTAATCGGAATATTGGAATACATGAGAAACATACCTCAATATTGTGCACCTGGCATTAGTTTATAGCACAAAATCGTGATGAAAGCTGTTGTAATTTTTAGCAATACGCTTTGACGTAATAAATTGTATATTTGGTGACCAAGACTTGCGTCAAAATTCGCTGATAAACGAGTACGGTCATTATAGTTTGTAAATTAATTAGTTTAGCTTCGTACGAATATCTGAAACAAACTTGTCTCTTATATCACTAAACTTGGGAATGTTTTGATGATAGGTACTGTAAGATGTATTGGTTCAAATGTTTCGCGTTTTGGGCATAAGGAAAGACTGGGATACAGAAGATTATAGTTTTCCCGTCTTGAATAATGGGACAGATCTCCTGACATGGATAACATGACATTTTGGAAAGTTAGGCCCTCTAATAACAGGAGGCTCTCGAATTTCAGGCTTTGAGATGTATTTCCGAACGAGTGGCAACAGATATACCTGGAAGAAAGAACAAGACACCTTTCCACATACAAAACAATACTTAAGCACAATTACTTTTACATTATGCATTAAATAACGCACTAGAATACAATACGCTATACAATTGAAAATAATGCAAGTGATCTGTTTTGCTTGAGTGAAAAGTGTAAGACTAACAAGAGCTACAATGAGGACTTTAAGAACAAACAAGGCTCTCGCTAGTTCATTTTATTTCCCCTGTAAACTAAATTAAATATAAATGAAAAACAAATGAAAATAACCCTAAGTTACGTTAGATAAAGTTACTGAGAAGCAAAGTTTAAATGACTATGTGAAATCCAAATCCTAACTTGGAGTTCACCAAAACAGCTTTACTTAGCTAATGATTCTAATAATAATAACATGCAGAGTAAAAGATCTATTAAGAATACTTCAAACTTAACATGAAGCAAAATTTAAATTTCGTTCGCTTTTACAGTGATCATAAATAAACATTACAGCATCGTCGAAAAATCTGCGATCACAGCATTATAAGTAATCAGATTAAAAATCGTTTACATAAACAGATTTTAAGTGTTATATTTAGCTCAATATTCCATAACACTCAATTTGATTAAAACAATAATTCTTTATCAATTGTTGGATTTCAATTTATATTAACGTGGGGATTCAAACAGGTACATTTTTGTGTTTACTCTAACTTACATCTTATGTTATATCTTAAATATAAGTTTATTTCTTCTTCACTATAAAACTGACAGTTTATGTTTCTTACAAATTACCCTTACTTGTGAATAACTCATAAATTTGTACAACAAGATAATAGTGTGGTATTCTTAGGTTAAACTGATTTCGCAGCGTTTTAGGTAGGTCTGTTTCATAACGGGAGGATCGGCAGGATAAATTAAACAGCAATGCGAATTTTAAAAAATTGACTGAACACGATGTGTAAAACAAAATGATAACAGTATTTATTTATTACTAAGACAAAAAACGTGGTGTGTTCACTTACTTTTTGAACATTGGATAGTCATCTTTCTCTGAACTCGTGAATTTATCAACTGTTTTTTTTCCCTCAAGATGTTTTCCTGTCAACCAATTCACTTGGGATTCGGTGTGGTAATTCTTAAATCTAACGATTATTACTTAATAGGAAATGTGGGATTTACTCACAGCGATTAGCGTTTGCTACATGACTGGTTATTCTCAATCATCTTATGAGAGACCATAACTTTGAGTTATTAGCAAATATACCATTAAAGGACACTACAGTCGACATTTTTGCACAGAATGCAACATCAAAGCAATACTTCCATGGGTATCTCCAGATAATAATAAAAAAACAAAGGTCGTTAGAAAGAAATGAAGTTAAAAGGTTTTTGGACCACGTGCTTTGAGAAAAATGCAAAAACTTTGAATAAGCGAATAAAATAAGAAGGTAGAAAGCGCATGGTATGCCTGTATATCAGATTAGTACGTTGCGCATCTAATCCAGTATATTTAATTTCAACTGTTGAAACCACTATAATTGTCTCATGGACTGATATGATTTGATAATGATTTTATCAAACTGAGCCCAGTTTGGAGGCTGTTATTTGTCTCAAAGACAACCATTTTAAGTAAAACGCAATGTGAGGTTACAGTCCGTGCACTTTTTATATTTAGTTATATATCTATGCATATTTTCTTATATATTTAAACATTAATTTCTTTGCTTAAAATTTTTTAATGTAACACTTGCTCTATATGTAGTTTTATTATCTCAACAATTTTTTGAGTTTCAGTAATTAATATTTAGATTTCATAATTATATTTTTATATATTTGTTAGTTATCAGCATTGAAATCTGATTCATTAGATAATAAACAATTTTTTACCTTTACAAATGCTCAAATAAGAATCTCAAAATGAACGTGTAGGGGAAAATTTTTAATAATTGCATTTAGTTTACCATAGTTTTCGTTATATTTGTTACTTTTACAAAATGATCTTGTCAATAGTTCAAATTAAAGTGTGCGTTGCTGGCATCTACTGTTGACAGTGGAGTCTGTAAAAAAACGTAATGGATACTGATGCACATGTGGTCAAGAAAGATGTTAAGCATCTTTTAAATGCAGGAACTTTTGCTCTTGCATTTTCTCCAGTCATTTCAAGGCTATATTTGTAAGTATAACTTTTTAAAACGCGCTTTACATTCCCTTATACTTATAGCTTACTCGTACTTGCAAGTTGCACTCAAAGGTAAATAGTTAAAAATAAAACTAGTTTTAAAACAAACAACAAAAATGAGTATCTTTGAAGTTCGAGTACATTTTAATTATCAAAATTTTTTAAGTTGCATATTTTTAAAGATAACTGATATTATTATTAAAGTTTTAAAACCCATTGTTAGGCTAGTAGTAGTAGTAGTACTTAGTAGTATTGCTACTAATAATACTATAATTTTTAATAAGTACCACTGTACCAGTGATATACTATTCGTTTTAGTAATATTACTATGAGCAATAAGACCTAACGTTACACCTGAAATATGACAGGTATTGAAGGAAGTGCTGTTTATATTTCCATGAAAGAATGCTTGTACAACAAGGGACCATTCGATCATTCAACTCAAATATGTGGTTACGTTTTCATATCTGCCCTTGAGAAAGGTCAAGTGAAAAAAAATATACATGTTTAGCATCCCTTCCTGCTTCCTTTTCTGCAGCTGCCTCCCCCACTTATTTTTGGTGATTTTTCTTCTTTTTAATTATCGTTTTTTGATCATACAAAGAAACAATGAAAACTTCTTAATAAAAAATGGGATGAACACAGTTGATTCATTTTGCCCTTTTTCTTTATCTGTCATAAATTCTGTATCATTTTGATGAAAAAATGAAACATGGACCCTTTGAAAACAAGCAAAAATCAAGATAAAAAGGGTGCAAACTTTATTTAAAGGATGTCACTTAAAAAAAAGGACTTCTTTCTTCCTTTTTTTGAAAACTGTACACTAAACATTTTTTTTAATTTGGCCTAAACCCACCTTTTATTTTTTAAGGAAATCATTGAATCCTTTCTTTAAACTTTTGTAAAATAATGATCTTTGCTACTGATGATGGCAACTCATTACATAAGCCAGTTATCCATTAGAAGAATAAAACTTACTTAATTGGAGCCCTAACCTGTTCTTTCTATATCTTAGATTTTTGTCATGTTGTTTTCAGGATACAGCCTAAAGACTCTTTGGATAATCTTGTAAACTTCAGTGAGATCACCTCTTAACTTTCATTTAATTTTTTCAAGAGAGAGTATGTGAGCAGATCTTAACCCATTCCTATAAGATAACCTTTCTATCTCTGGAATCATTCTCTTCTTAACTCTTTATGAGCTTTAGTGTCAGGGAAATGTGATACTACTCATTGTCAGTAAACAGTAACATAATTTTGAAAATCATTATAAAACATTTCATACTCTTACAATGAGAAAAATCATTCATTATAATTTAAAGTTATATTTGATAATTTTAGATTTTGTTGTTGTGTTGAAGCATGTAATTTGACTATGGTGTATAAAGTTCAATCTCTAAGAGTTCAGAATCTGGATTAAGTAAGAGGCAAAAAATGTATATATTAACCCTCAATTAGTCACATGGTAAAATGGAACATATGTGGTCTCCTAGGGTCATTATGAACCCAATGTGGTATTTAAATTACTAAGAAGCTCAAACACTTATATGTAAGTAAAATAGAATAATGAAAGCCTTAGATTACAGCGTACAATATTAAAATGTATTGCAGTGGTAGTGAGTCCTTTTCTAGCCATCTGTATAAGATAAAAGCCAAAGTAGCAATATGAAGATGTACAAGAAATAATTAGATATAATTTAAATTATTAAACAGAGAAATGTCAGAAAAGAAGAGATATAGAATAAAAAGACATCTTTTAGCCATAAACTACGAAAAATGCATAAAATGAAGTAAACTAAAATTATAGGAAAACAAACTGACCTTGCAAAAAAATTATAATCCAGGTAGTTGCATGGGGTAAATATGACCCCAGTCTAGAACTATGCGAAAACCTACAACTGTAGAACACTGATGAAGAGTGCAACATGGACAGACACAATTAAGGAAGATACGGTGGGTGGGGCTAAGTACCATCTGTCACATAATAATAATTAATTAAAGAAATTGCATGGGGTCATAATGACCCCATGTGACTATTTGAGAGTTAAAGAAAGATTTAGAGCTTAAATTTTTTATGATTAACTTAAATAATAGTGTGATGATGTCATTTGACATGAACTCCTGACACTGTGTATCTTGTAACAGGTCTAACAAATGGACAACAAGAAACCATTTGGACCTTCATGACTGGCTCTGTACACCTGTCCTTGAGAAAAAGTAACAACTTAAACCAGCCTTTTACAGAGAATTATAGATTCCCCTTGCAAGCTCTTGTAAGGTGCTGTTCTACACTATTACTGATGATAACTCCTTCCATAAGTTAATCACCCTGTTAGAAAATTAAAACTGTCTTAACTGGAGACTAACCTGCCTTTCCCAAATCTTATTACTCATTAGTGGCAATAGTTTTGTGCCACCAGACACTTAATAGTTTTACTGAACAAAAAAATAGATACAATGCTTTTATCTTTATTATTTTCAGTTTTACAAGCTTTGGTTGTAATTATTCTCTGAAAATTAACCTATCAACATTTCTTTCAAATTTTGCTTGGAAATGTCAAATTTTTAATAATATATCGTGGTTATGACATCTATTTAGTTGTGTGCAATTTTTAGTATGATGGGCTTGTTCCATTTTTATCATACATACTACACTGCTGACAGTTTTAGTTAGTGAGTTGAAATATCAAAAATGTGTTTTTGTATTGAGAAGTGTAATACAGTTTTAGGGTGTATTTACAGAAAATATTGTTACAAGTCTAAATTGTTTATACAAGTCATTAGATAGGCCTCACTTCGAATACCATGTTCAGTTTTGGTTTCCATATCTAAGAAATGATGAATGACTTATTTTACAGGGTATATTGGATGAAAGGGTTATTGTATTAAGATAAATTAAGAGCTTATAACTTATTTTCTCTTAAGAAAAGAATTTGAAGAGATGACCTTATTGAAGTTTATAAGATTATTTGGGGGATCCATAGGATAGTCTTTCTTTATGCTGTATTCTAAAGAGAATAGAATGAGAAGACACAATTTTTTGATAGGGTGATTAGCTTATGGAATGAATTGTCATTGGTGGTATGTGAGGTCAGTTTTTACAATAGTTTGAGAGGAGAATTGTTAATTTCTTGAAAGATAAATGGTGGGTTTAAGTTTTTACTCCTTTTCAATAGTGAGTGTGAAGATATGACCTTTTAAAGTAAATATGAAGAGTTTTTGCATATGGGTGAAAATTTCACCGTTGTTGTAAAGAATAATGTTTGAATTTTAGGTGTGATCATTGTTAAATACCTAGGATCTTAGTGTGACTGGTTGATAAAAGAGCTCATATAAATTGTTTACATTTTTTTTGTTGAAAATTGGAATTTAAGGGTAAAGTGGTGTAACTTGTATAAGACTGGTTCATTTGGAATACTAGAGGTAGTTTTGATTTCAATAGACTATCAACAGGAAGGATATAAATATTGCTGTTAACAGTGTAGTTACAGACTTTTAGGTTATACATTTAATATTTGACCAAGTACCTATATTTTGTAGTCTAATGAATAATTCTTACTGAGTAAAAATGAATGGTATATAATAATTTTAATTTCATGCTGCTTGAGAGTCTTATATTGATTATTGTGAGACTTGTAATCATTAAGGCAGAGAAAGTGATTTTTACTTGAATGTGATATCTCAGTGTAATAAGTAAAAATGAAAAAGAATTCTTGTAGTAAGGATGTAAATAATAGATATGTATTATATTAGGTCGTCAAGAAATTAATGTAGTTTTTTTTTAGATTAAAAAACCCTAACAACTTATGTATCAAAACAAAACATTTATTAAATGAAATAGTCTCTATTCTTATCGATGATGCTTTTCCGTCTTACATTCAGGTTGTTAATGCTTTGATTAAAGAAATCACTTGGCTTTGGAGCAAAAAACATGTTGATGTCCTTTTCAACACCTTCCACATTTGCATATGATTTCCCATTAAGATGGTGTTGCAGCGAATGTAAATGATGGTAATCTGATGGTGCCATATCTGGAGAATATGGTGAGTGTGGGAGAACTTCCCAACCCAACTCCATAATCTTGTGTTGCATCAAACATGCCACATGTGGATGTGCATTGTCGTGGAGAAGAAGAACATGTTTCTGATGAAGGGCTTGATTTAACCGTTCCAGTTGCTGACTATAGATCTCTGCATTGACAGTTCACTGTGGATTGAGGAGTTTGAAATGAATTACTTCTTTGATGTCCCATCAAATGCAAAGCATCACTTTCTGTGGATGGAGTCCAGGTTTTGGGGTCGGAAGTGGTTTTTGTCTAGGACTGAGCCATTGTTTTTGCCACTTAATATTCGCATAGAGAATCCATTTTCATCACCGGTGACAATGCTGTCCAAAAATGGTTCACGTGCGTTACATGCCAGAAGAGATGAAGCAACGTTCACACGTTGGGAGTGATGATCATTTGAGAGTTTATGAGGCACCCAAACACCTTCTTTATGGAGTTTTCCCAGATTCCTTAGATGTTTACGTATGGTTTCATGAGAGACATGCAATTTCAGGGCCATTTCACGAATGTGTTGCCTTGAGTGATGTCTCACTCATAAAGGAGTGAGACGTCAAATTACAGTTCACTCCTTTGATTGGGAGTCCTCATCCTATCCCCCGCATGGATGTCAGTACCCTGTGGCTGGGTTTTAGAGTTAGAGTAGAACTAATCAACATAAGTCCTCACAAATGTTTATGGTTTTCTATATTCCTTTCTCAATCATACTCCTTCTGTGTTGTGGGTCACAGTGGAGGTAAGGGGGATTGTTCTAGTTCTGTCTATTTTGCTATCCCTCATTGTATCATATTCCGAGGATGTTATTGCTTTTCGGATGGTTCCAGTCTGTTTCGTTGTTGGAGGAGTTGATTTATATTATATTGACATCCTTTCAATACTGGGTGTTGGGTTCCTGAATGGATAGATCAAAACTAACATGTGTCATGTTCAGAAGTCGGAGTGGTGCTAGATTCTCCCCAGTCTCTTGAACTTGAGGTGTAGACAGTATGATCCTCATCCTACCCCCATGTGGATGTCAGTTCCCAGCGGCATGGGTTTTGGATGTAGTTGAATTACCGAGTATGATCCGTCGCACCCAAGCCACTCTACACCTAAGGGCACATCCATTGTTTTACCCACTTTTATACTTTGTGGGATTGAGTTACATATATATTTACATGGTTAGGATCACAATCCTTTCACAGTTCTCTCCCACTTGGATGTGCTCCTCTCTTTTTCTGCCCTCCTACACATTTCACGGATGGGCAAAGAGTATACCTGGTTCAGAAGTGGTGCGGTTCCCCTCATCAGATCTTCGGATCTGACTCTCTCATTTCCAGGGGTATTCTTCGGATGCTTTTGGGGGTACTTCTGTCATTTGCTAGCACCGGTCCCACCACCTAATCAATGTGGGATTCTCGCTAATCTTGTGAGAAGATGGAAGTACCGTATCAGAAGTTATAATTTTCCTATACTGAAAATGTATTTCCTATAGGTACTTCCCTTGAAGTTATAGTTCAGAGGGAGTCACATACGTCACGTATGTCACGCTCCTATTGGTGGAGAAGTGATGTATGATAATTTACATGAGACACATGTTGGAATCATTCAATTCCAATAGGGAGGAAACAGAAGGCTTATGGCATGCATAAAGAAAAGATTTGCATATAGAGGACAGCACTGGATGAGAATAGCTAATTTTGTGAGTGGAGGGAAGTGCCTATCGGAAATACATTTTCAGTATAGGAAAAGTATAACTTTTGGCCATTGAGACTATCATAGATTTTGGGCCATGTTCCCAACAGATCTTCTAATGCTACTTGTAAACCTCAAGCTCTGTTAGTTTTACTTAAAAATTCCTTGGCCTATAAGCTACTTATGGAAAAATTTGTGTTTTAAACATCAATTTAAAAAAATGTTTACATTTCAAACATAGTCACACTGAGCTTTAATAGTGTTTTTTTTTGTTTTATTTTCTTGATCATTAAGCTTATAGAGATGAATTCTAAAGTCTTCACCTATGTCAGATCATAAAGTTATAGTAGATGAATTGTAAAGAAACTCAGTAACTGGGTTGGTTTTATAAAATAGACCACCTTCTATCAGGCTTGAAAGGAAATAAAATTTACAGTCTGCCTTAATTTTATCATATCTTATATAAATTCACTTACCAAATATATTGAAAAAATTAAAATATGATTTGGAGAACAGAGCAGTGACAGAAGGTTTAAAATAACTCCTTTGACAGAGGCATGGATTGTATGTTCTTCCACTTGATTATAAAGTCTCACCAACTTACTAAATCACACGTGTGATGATTATGCAATGCAAAAAAATTGTGCTTATATAATTATAGTGCAGCTGCTTATGTTTTCTACACAGTCTACATTCTTCTGATGAAGAATTAGCATTTTTTGGCTTGAAATTGTCACATGCAATGGCTTCTGTTGACACTTTGTAATTGGAAGCCTATAGCTGCTTCACACAATATATGTTTGCTCTTGATATCACAAATTAGACCCCCTTTCAAACAATCTGTGTACAAGCCTGTAAATATTGCAATGCTTACAATCATTAATGTGGAGTAGTGTGTTGCCTTAAAATCAGAAATACCAACTGAAAGCTTTTGTTGCCTGAAACTATGTAACAAATAAAAATGCTTGATGAAAATTTTTTATAAATGTATTACTGTTGTCACAGAGATCTGAGCAACTAAAAGCAATAGATCTAGACCTTAGGTTCCTGTTGGCTACAGATTTTGGTACATGGGGTGTAAGAAAGAAAGGCTGATAAAACTTAAAATGTTTATGTACATTTACAGTCTACGTCAATAACATTACGTAAATAGTATGACTTTATTTTTGTTTTGGTATATTGGATTTCTAAATTAATTTTTTCCACCAAGGTAATCACATTTTAAAGATGTGGAATTTGAAATATATTGAATCAGTAGTTTATTAATTTGTGTTAATCATGTACTAAAATCAAAATTTCATTAAATTGTAACTTAATTTTTAACCTTGTATGTTTTGCAATTGATAAGTTTACACAGTAATTATATAGTTTTCTTTTCTTTGTTTTTTCAGTTATAAATTTCAGGAGTTTTTAAATAAGGAACAGAAGAAAGAACAAAAAAAAAATGAACACATTTGTCCACACTGTGGATCAGCCTGGCTTCCTGGAAATCATAGGGTCAGAATCAAACCTCGTCCCAAGTTGACAAAACATCTTCGGAAGCTTTTGAAAAAAGGCAGAGATAATTCTGAGAGCATTAAGTTAAAAGACAGAAGACAAATAGATTATTTCAGAAAGAGCACAAACAAAATAGTAGGTCTTATATATTTCTTTCATGTTTAGTATTGTTGGTTTATTAAACAAATGGCTATTAATCATGACTGAGTTATAATAGAATTACATGTTACTTGAAATTCTCCTGAGGACCTTTATTTATCTTGTATCCAATTTTCTTGGGGTTATTTATCACATGTAGGAGGTCTATCAACACCTTTCTATAGCTGATTATAGCTTCATTAATGTGTATAGTAAATGAAAGTTTTCTGAAATACACAAATAATCTGTTAGGAGAGGCTAACCTTGCTAGATTAGATGAATATTGTTAACAGGGAAGATGAATATTATTTATATTTTAACCACTCTTATGTGTAAGTGCAACTTTGATCTTTTGTTCTGTACCAGTATGAAAGCCCTTCAGAAATGATGGGAAACCATTGTTGAATGATTAATGAAAATAATAGAATTTAACTATGGTGACTTTGTCTGTACCTCCAAAATGAACCTACTCTTCCCTTATTTCATCAGTCTCAAAGTAATTCTTTAATCACCACATTTTAATTAAAAACTACGCAGAAAAATGAAATGTTATCTTGAAAAAAAATACATGTGCTCTCTGAGAGAGACTTAAGTAACACTCTTGAGCCTTTTCACTGTATTCTAGGTCAGAAAGTAGAAAACATAGTGCAGACATTCTGACACAAATTTTCAATTCTTTTGACTGTACAAAGGATAAAAGATATTTGGTAGTAATAAACATTTTATTTTCTTTATGTTTTAAGGCCAAGTAGGTAATATATGTATTAAAATACCAAAAGAATATTTATTAATTAACATTGATTCACCACTTAAAACTTTTTAAACACTAACTCCATAACGTTAGTAATAGTAGTCCTATTTGTAGTCTAATTTAACCATAGTGTAAGACTAAATTAATGCTAATGCTCTGTAGGAGTTTGTAGCTTTTATTAGCATACTTCCTTGAATACAAAAGATTTCAGTACAGAAAACATGTTTAAAATGCACACTAATCTGTTTCATATTGGATCAATTTTGATTTACACCTGAAACCTGTCTTGGTTAAATTAATTCTTGTTTAATTGACACTCAAACTTTGTTCCTTATCAAATGTATGTTTTACATGAAGCTTATTATTCATTTTTGATTCTAAAACTGTGCTTCTATTATGCGACTATAGCAATTACAAGGCCACTTCTGTTTGTCTACAAACTTTTTTTTAAAAGCTCCATTTCAAATTCTTAACCAGTGATTGTTGTATTTTTTATGGTTTCACTGTTGACAGATTGTTCATTGTTTGAGTTGTAAGAAAGCAACTAGTAGGGAAGGTGGACGAAAACCAGTTATTCCACAACATTTTCTTGAAAGGAGGCAAATTTGTTCTATGTCATATTCGAAAAAGTCTAAACGAAAACGAAAGGATATCAATGCTGGACTGAACCTTTCATCACTTTCCCCTCATGAAAGGTAAAAAAAAAATTTTTTTACACATGTTACTTTTTTAGTTTTTTTAATTTCTTTTCAGCTATTTAAAAAAGTCTGTAAACAAAGTTGATGGTAAATTTTAGTGTAGACATGTAATTTTAATGGGTTTTTTTTCAGAAACAACTGTAATACACATTATCATACCATTTTAATTCTACTGCATAGTACTTCATGTTTCTCAAAATTCAACATTGTATTTGATGAAGTAGTTGTAGCTATTTTTTCAAACCCAAATACATAATTAGTCATGTACTGCTTGAACTGCTAATGTTGAAGAAAAAAATATGACTAATCTGTTAAGGGGCGGTCTCACAATGTAATAGTGAAATATTTTAAATCAGACTTAATTTCACTCACATATTTATTCTCTTAACTGGCTCTTCTGAATAATATTATATTTTGATAGATAACAGTGGAAGTGCATGTGTGTTTATGTTTTCTATTGTTAACTTCACTGGTGAGCAAGTAACTGCATCATGGTATAACTGTGGCCTGAAACATCAGTTTTTAAAATGATGTAGCTGCATTTCCTGAACCAAAAAATCCAATGTGTGCCAGCAGTCTAAGACTCTCCAGGAAAGGAATAAACACAGCTGATCAATTACTTAAGTGGGATTGGCTGTGAGAAAACAACATTGTTTTATTACGTAGGTTAGTCAAACTAGCATTTCATTGATTACCAGTCCATAACTATAAGTGGAGCAGGTTGAATAGTGATAGCTTCACATTTTTGCTACCAACCTTCCGGTCCGTTGAGCCATCATTCATGGCATTAAAGAAGTAACATTGAAATGATTGTCAAACTGAAAGCATTTGTTTTATTGCTTACTTAATTAAACTTGATCTCTGGGAAGTCCACCTGAGTTATTTTGTCAAATTTTATTAAACTTGGTTCATTCAGTTCCTCAGTAAATTTACATTGGAGAAACAAATCAAGTCAAATCAAAGTTCGTGGTAGGAATTTAGGTTTAATATCTTTCAAACCTCAAAGAATTTGAGGTTTGAAAGACAACCCATATTGCTCAGAAACTTAAGTTTTTCCTCATCCAACAGACAGACAGGTGAAGAACTCAGCTTTTATATGTAGTGGCTTGGTATTCAAGCCAATGGTCTCCAAAGTATGGCCTTAGTGTTTGGAATGAACCAAGACATTGAAATATTTGTTTCATACAAAAAAAAATATTTTTTTTTCTTTTAACTAAGATGAGTACTTAATTAAATATGTGATGAATTTCAGTGTAACATGAAATTTCTCTATTTAATGTCTCAAACTGAACTAACATGTAATTATTTTTTGTCTAGAAAATCAACACTCCTGACACCTGATGGCCAAATATCATCATATTTGTCTACTTCCATTCTTTCACTAGATAGCTCTCCATCGCCAAAATTATCCAGACCAAGTATTTCTTCTAGTGAAACTTCACATGGCAATATAGCAACTCCAAAAAGTGACTCAGAAGCTCAATCCAAGGCATGGTCCTCATTCTCAAATTCAAGCCCAACACCTGTGAAAAGTGATTATTTGACATTAAAGAAAAGAAAAATAAGCATATGCTTCTACAAAAGATTCTCGAAAGAGAACGTAGAAAGACAGAAAGTAGAGGGAACTTAAGTAATTTTTTAGCATCTTTGCATTGATAATAATAATAGATGGGAAATATAAAACTCAGGAGAATCTATTTCATACTGTATATTGAAAACATTGAACACACATAAAGCTAAGTGACAATCATATATAATCAGAAGTGACTTGAGATTATTGTGACCTTTTGATTTGTGTGAAATAGCTGAAAATGATGGAAACAGAAGTGATATCTAGTATTTGACTCACATACAGACATATATTTCCAAATCTCTATTGACACTCGATCTGCATGAGTTTTTTTCCCATTCTAAGCATTGTATTTGTTTTTACTTTTAAAAACCTCCTTGAGCCACATTTGTCTAAAACCTATTACAGAGAACTGTACATTTTTAATCACTCATTATTTAATTAAAGTACAACTAGCAAGACTTTCGAGACTATTAATTGTTAAAAATTACAAACATTCTAGTAATTTTTAATGTTAACTAAGTGAAAGAAATTGATTGTAACTTGTGTTCAAAAGGAAATCCCTACTTTTTTATAATCTAAAAATGCAGGCAAGTTTTATATGAATGAAACATTGATTCAAAATAATCATTGTTGAATTATCAGGTGCTACTAGTGCTTTTAATGCTTTACTCTTCTCTACTGAAATACAACTATATGAGAACAGACACTAAGACTCGCGATCTAAAGATAAGTTCTACAAGTTTTCTTTGCCAGTGTCAGGTGAAACACAGCAGTTTACGTGCTTGACTATGTTTCAGCTTGTCTTTAGAGTTAGGTCTATTTTAAGGAACACTGCCCATACTCCTGTTACTTACAGATAGAAATGTTCTTACTAAGAATATTGAATATATAATTTACAGCAGTTTTTTTATTGCTATTTCATGTTGTAATTTACCATAGGAGCTAAGAGGACAGGCATCAATATTGCCCTGATTTATTCCTCATTACTTTTAGCAGGCTTGATTTGTGAAAGACCCATTCAAGGAATGATAGTTCTCTGTAACAGTTTAATTCAACAAGTGGTTCAAAATAAAGTGATGAATTAAGCATATATCATCTTTACTTCTTGCCAGAAATTGGTGTACAAATCATTAGTAAGTATTTGGTGCAAAATATACATATTAAAGTAAAGCGTGCTAAGAACGATTCAGACCTTTTTTCCTCAGTTTATGCACAATCTTTTAAAGCACAGTGTCCAGACAGATAAGGTGGATATAGTTAATAGAGTTACAAGAAAAAAGTAAAAATCTTCAAATCTTACTAACTTTGTGTATTTTACAATAATAAGTTAATTATTTTGGAATCACAAAATTACATAAATTTCCAAATTCATAGCAGGAGTAAAAAAAAGCTTCAGTTAAAAATGGCAATTCTAATTAGTAAATGTCCTAAATATGCTAAATAGCACAAAAGCAAATATTTTGAAATTATCAAAGGAATAAATAGTAGTAATTCGTAAGTTATCATTAGTAAGACCATTGATGTAAAGAGAAAATTAAAGATTTTATGACAAAAAAACAATTGAAACACAATTTTAGTAATCTTTATTCCAGTCTTCTTAATGATAAAGTTAGCAGCATATTCAGATCTTTTAACAATTTTAGTAAATCGGTGATTTGTACTAGTAAGTATAAATATTTTTGTTTTAAAAAAACATCACTATTTCACTCACTTTTTTAGTTCTCAATATTTTTGTAGAATTTGGCAAACATATTTTCTATTCAATGTAAAGAATACCTGTGAAGGGTAACCTCATAAATGTTGATGATTTGTTTTTGAGTTTGAATACTGTTGGACAGTGGATGGGCATAGCCTAGTGGTTAGCTTGCTGGATAGTAAAACTGAGGGTTCATGGTTTGCATATTGATTTGTTTTTATTTGAGTTTGAATACTGTTAGACAGTGGACGGGCATAGCCTAGTGGATAGCATGCTGGATTCTAAAACTGAGGGTCCATGGTTTGCATCTTGTTGCCACAATAACATGCCTTGCACTTTGGGGTTGTGTAAGCATTTCAACAGTGATGGTTAAATCCAACTATTTGATAAGGATAACCCAGTGTCATGATATAAAAGACTGTTTGGTTTAGACATTAATTTATTTTTGTGAGTGAATATTTAAGACGATTAAGTGATAAAGATATAAATAGCGTAAGACGAGCTGGAAGCAGCAGACAGATAATAGCACAAGAGATAAGAAAAATAATTTTATTCTGTCAAAGCGTGATTCTAAAGTAATTGAATCAGCCTGAATGCACTTTGACAAAAGGAACAGAGGATCTTCAAAAGAAAGAAGACCAAACGATTATGGTAACTCGCACCACAATTGTAAGTGAATTACAGAGAGTACTAGGGCGATAGAAATAGAGAAGATAGTTTGGCTTGTCAACTGAAATTGTAAAGTAATTGAATAGGCCTAAGGGGATATTTGACAAGAAGGAGAGAACTACATATGTAGTATTTATGATATACCCATAATATCTATATATTATTTTAATAACAAATGAAGTGCGTGCTGTTTATTCATCATTGAATTTATTGCTAACAAGTCACAG